AAAAAAAAAGAGCAAATAGCTGACCCCAGTGAAAAGAAGCCAAGAATGTGTACAGTACAGTACATGGCAGAGCCTGGGCAGGGCCTGGTACCTAAGTGCTCAAAGCCTATCTGTGGAAATGAGGTGACATACAAGGCAGCAGGTAGTAGGTCTGCGCTTTGGAGACACAGTAAGAACTGCAAAGAGAGATCAGAGGAAGGGAGACAGGAGATCAACATTTACAGGGACTAATTGCTTTGCATGTATTATCTTATTCAAAGTTTAATTAAACAACCCTATGAAGGAGGTGTTACTACTGCCATTTTACAACTCAGTAATTTGCCCAAGGTCATCAATAAGTGACAGAGGCTGATTTGAGCCCTTTCTAACACTCCTTCGCCATGCTCAGTCACCTCTCTCTGGAGAAGCCTTGGTTCACCAAGGACGTGGTGCTTGAAGGAGATCAGTCACAGAGTGTGAGATGACACTCATTATTTTAGATAATCCAAACAGGTAGCAGCTGCAGCAGTGAAAAGAAAATTATCTTGCTGCCCTGAAGAGAAAATTTTCCACTCCTGAGCAAGAATCCCCAAGGGGCCCTTGATAGGCACTGCCCTCCCAACCTCACTCCTATCCTATCCTGTCAGGAGCCCCCTCCCTGGCCCTGATGTCAGGAGCACAGCTGTCCCCGCCAAGCCCTCAGTTACTGGGCAACACTGATGGCAGTGTGCAGGCAACGTCAGCACCCACCAGGGAGGCCAGGGGCTAAGATCCCTTATCTCACCATGGCCCAAGCTTTGACTTTCTCATTTCCTGCAGGCTCTATTTGCACACACACACACACCCCTACTTCCTCCAGCACCCACTTCACTGCTGCTGACGCTGACTTCTCCCTCCCTGTGGTGGCCCAAGGCGGGTGAAGGAGGTACTGAGTCACACAGCAACCTTTTCCCCATCCCTTTGGCCCCAGGCCATTTCACTTACAAGCCCAAGACCCTTTCTGAAATCAGTAAGGCATTCTCACATGACCTTGGGCAGCTCAGTCTTGTTTTCCTTCTTGATAAAGCAAGAATAAAAATACTGCTTGCCTTGCCTTCCTTCCTACTTAACGACAGCAAAATGGTCAGCATGGAAAAAGGGAATGTTTCAATCACCAAAAAAGCATAATTTGTCAGAAAATACAAGCCCTAACCATTAGCATTATTTCAAAGTCAGAGAGAGGGTAGAAACTTTCCTCCTTGAGACAAACACTGGCACCATTGCTCCCAGCAAGCCCTCATCCTGGTAACCTGACTGCAAGCCCCCCATCCTTGCCCCTTTTCCTCCTCTTCCCAATGTTGAACAGTCTTGGCCAGTGCAGGGCTGAGAAAGGCTGCCCTCTGCAGTCCACCTGATTCCAAACCACCGCAGACTCCCAAATCCACAATTTTGTGCCAATATTGCTACCTAGTGGTCAATTCAGGCACTGCCACCAAATTGAAGTCACTTGGCTTTGGTACCTCTTTTGGCTGGAGTCCTTTGAAATGAAGAAAAATCTCCTATCTATTTTCTGAGATCTGTATCTAGGAGCATGCCAGGTCAGGACTTGATGATAAAGCATATCTGTCCATACTTCAAACTACACAAGAAAGCACCTGGGACAGGTGTGGAGTAGGGAGGATGGGAAGGAGGATGTTATCAAGACTTGGCAAATGAGACATGTAGCCCATCCATATGTGCCCTACTGTGGCACACTCATAGTGACCCAGCCTATAAAAACTTCCGCACTGCCCCCCCCCC